ATTGCTGTTTTTGAAATACTTTTATTAAGAAATGGACTTTTAAATACTCAAATGTACGGTTTGAAAGGAAAACCTGAAGCTGTGCTACACATTCGTTAGTTTATATATTATTATAAAGCTCTCGGAACTGATAATAATACTCGCTATAAATTCTAACTTTAGTTCAGTAATAATTAGGATTATAAACATTGAATCTGTTGCTGAGTAGCTCTAACGCTGATGTCTAGTATTCACCATCTCCTGGGGACCCGGGTTTGTTTCCTGGTCGGGGCTATATAGAAATTGACCTCTGCTATATAGCCTCGGGTGTTGTGTTGCCGTTGTTTTAGATTCTCATAATAGAAGAGCTTTAGTTACTTAATTTTGTTACATATGTAATGTTGTCCAATATATATTTATTTAAAAACTATCATCGCACCAATACAACCAGACGATACAGACAATATTTAATCTAAAGAAAAACGTAAAACTACAGAAATAGACATACATTAATTTAATCATGTCTCGTCATGCACGCTATATTGTTAAATCTTCGTAAAATCTCGGGAAATATATGCTCTGTTCCTCTGAAAACTAAATTTTGTCTAGTTTTAAATAATAATTAATATTTATTTATTAGCGAAAATATGGTTACAAGGTAGTTTTACAATTTTAGACCAGCATGTTTTATCGTCAAGACGATGTGCAAATATTAAAATGCTCATTTGACTCCAAAAAAGGTTTTTTCGATTATTTATAATGTAACGGGATTAGGATTTTTCACTGTGCGTCTGATGTTTAAATAATTTGCACGATATAAATTAAATTTTAAGAGTGTTTCGTAATTTGCCGTATTTTCATTCGTGGTCAATTATGTACTTTTATGACATGGACCTAAATAATGTGTTACCCTTTAATCATTTCTCACCCCATAACAAAGAATGGAAGGTGGCGTTGCATAATGTTTTGTGACAGTAAATTAAGTCATGTTATTTTTTGTATTTCTTTTTTCAATAATTGTTCCATACGCCAAAAGGAAAAAGTGCAACCCTAATCAGGATCACTCGCATGTCTGTCTGTCTGTCGCAGCTTATGTGCTCTGAAACATTTGGAGCCATTGTATTGGTAATATATCGCACACCTAGAAGTAAAGGGACTCAAAATTTTTTTTTTGATTTCTGCACACCATCTCTCTGGTTCTCAACTGTCGATAAAATAGACTTAAAAATAAGTCGATTATACAACGTCATTTGGCGCTGTAAGCTTGTTTTGTACTTGACTGAGGGAGTTTCTCTTTCACCCCCTTTATAACAGGGATTTGGAGATATAGCCGTTTTGTTAGTATATAATTAATTAATTACCTTATTGAACCTATACTGCAAGCAAGGTATGATAAGTCACGACAGGGTCAACTCAATATAATAAAACAATTATTTATCAGGTAATAGGGAAAGAAATATAAAAATCAATTATTTAAAGCCCCCAAAATTATACTAAATTCCTATATTGCCTTTGCAGTATACGCCGACACAGTTTTTCTCTATTTCTAAAGAAATTATTTTTTTGAATTTGTTGGATTGGATCTAGGAGGTTTTAATTTATTTTTCTTCTAGTGACCGGGCCATTATAAATTTATAAAATAACCTCTTGTTCAAGCCAATACAATAAAGTCAAACGAAAATATATAAGGTAGTAATGAATTAAAAAAAGCTTTCAAAAATATTTTATTTATTTTACTAATTAATATTTATTTTATTTTATGTTAAATAATTTTTATTCGACTGTACCGGTTTTGGATTGAATAACAGATATTTTATTCATTTATGAATAGTCCCATTCGCTTTAAGAAAAATATTGAAATTAAATTAATTCGACAACTGGGACCGTGTTTCGAGTTTATGCGATCCCAGTCACCGGAAATCTATGATCTAAGCGTTATCAAATACGAAATAAATAAATTTTAAAGATGGGACGGTATCACGTTTAGTGGGACAAAATAGAATACTAACAAATATTATTATAATATTTGATCAATTTTGTATTAGCAATACTATACAGAATTTTATTAATGAAAAATGCCAAAATAACACCGCCCCAGAGTGCACGGGACGAAGTGCATTTTTAAGCATTTTTCATTAAGTATATTAAAAAAATAAATTAAAGTACCAGATAAGCATAAGCAAATAATAATGTGTTATTATTTCACAATGGTAGGATGACGTCATAACTTTACCTGTAAACTATAACTGTCTAATGGCAGGTTTCTGAATTGAAAAAAAGTACAAAATCATTACTTATTATTTTTTCTCAATAACTTAAGATTTTTAAGTTTCACTAGGCAATAAGTCCTTGTTTTATCAAGCTGCTAACAAAAGAGGGGCTAATCTGTTTACGAACGAAAATTACAAAAATTTCGAATCGTTCTTACAATTTTATTTTAATGATATGCCTCAATACTATCTGTGCACCAGAAGCAGTGTCAGGGTCCTACCTCCGTTTCATTGTTAATGATCGAAAAATGTGTACCTTTAGTCGTGTTAGGGTTTCGAAAATAGACGAATTTTCATTTTCGGAAAGACAGAGTTGGCCTTCAGATTATCGAAAAAAAAACTAAAATCTGAAACGAAATCCTATTTAAGTATAGTTTGAGACATGATTAAATTCTCATTCAGAAACTGGCTGTAAGTTTCGCTGATTAAGGTTATTGTTTATTATGGCAAGAAAGAGTATGTTGCAACGCATTAGGCATTCCACAATGTTAAAGTCAGCGTGACAGTTAATGTCAAATTTGACATAAACTTTAAAAAACTGCAATTATGGTGCAACCGAGACTTTAAATTAGCCTTCCGACTTCATTCCTCTCTCTATTGTTATCGAGATGATTTATGAAGTATATTTAAATTGAAACACTGCTGTTATAACAATTAAGCTGCTTATGTACATTTGTAGTGGCCTCTGACTGTTTTATGTAACTATTAAAATAAAAAATGAATGATTCAAAAATTTTTCTTGGAATAACGCGTGGCATATCAAGTGAAGTATGCCTTGTTATGAATATTTCGTTTTACTAAAATTTTGTGGTATTAATTATTATTAAAAAAATAATTATACACTTTTCTGTTTTGAGATTAAAAGTTTACAAAATGAAATATTTTCTGTACTGGCAATCTTAATTTACGGGGGTAGATCGCGGTGTGCAAACGAATATTTGATATTTGTATTCGATATGAACTCGATTCATCTATACTAATATTATGAAGAGAAAAGATTTGATTGTTTGTTTGTATGTTTGTTTTTATTAGCAACGAACAGACTCCTCCTCCTGGACCGATTGTAAAAAAAAATCACCTACGATAAGCTATATATTATGCTGTGAATATAGTCTATATTTTATCTCGAATAACAGCAAATAAAGGGATGAAAATGGGAGTAGAAGTTTTTTTTTCAATTTGTCATTGTATTTATATCCTTGTCATTATATGAATCGATATCCAGATAAAGTTTTCTAGTGACACGCGGGTGAAGCCGCTGACGGAAAGCAAGTACTCTATAAATTTTATGTTACAGGCGTTTAACTTGTAGTAGGTAGGTATTATGAATACATAAAACTGGCAAACGAATTAAGGGTATGTCTAAAGCTAACGCCTAAAGCAAATCTATACGATTCAATTGATTGTAACTAATAAGTAAACTGTCATTTAAAATTATTGTCTTGTGGTCAGCGTGGTCGCTCAATGAGGGGGGGGGGGGGGAGTTAAATTAATCTTTGCAATAGCCAATAGCCGGTGATAAGATATGTGACAAAATATTTCTGGATAAGCGCCGCGGCCCGCGATCATTATCGTTAAGCAACTTTCGCAAGGGTCGGTCACGGGATGGGTGACCAAAAAATTATTACCTCAAGCTGCTACGTGCTTTAGAAGGCAAGTTAAGCCATTGATCTCGCCTGCGGCATTTGCAGTCGTTAATACCCTCCAATCCGCATTGGGCCAGCGTGGAGGGTCATGGCCCGTCCTCCTTAATCATCCATAAGGAAGGCTAGAGCCACTGCAGTGGGGACGTTAAAGGGCTGATGATGATGATGAAGATGACCTTGTAATTGTTAATTGTTTACTTACGTGGTAGTTTGTGCTCCAAATTCTTTATTTAACTCTATTGAAGGGGAAGGGCTGTGACCCAGCAGCGTAGACATAATAAGCTGATAATAAAAAATATATAAGATTTGGCTTAATTTTATTTGCCTACTTTAAATAATATCTTTAATCAATAGATGCATACTAAGTTACTTATTTAAAATTAAATTGCAAATATTGTTTTAAGTGGCATGATTCGAGCAAACTAAATGACAAAACAAGAATAATGAGACTAGACCAGACTAATACCGACAATAATTTCTGTTAAAATAATAAATGATTGCACGAAGTCACGCAAACACTGTTAAAATGTTTTACGACACATGCACTTTTCAAAATGGCTGTAAATTATGTGAAAAATAACCATTCAATACAAAATTATTTTATGCTTGAACTCAGAAGTTTTATATTACAGTATCAAGACGCGTGGGAAATGTATTTCATAAACAATGAATAATAACAATCGCCAGAGATTTATTGAAAATGGATTATTAGACCAACAGTCACCTATTATAAGTTCAGCGGCCGAGCAATATAAAGCTTTCCTTAGGGAACGGCGAGACGGTATGAACAAAAAGCCAATTTCATAAAACTATGCACCCGACTGCAGGCCCATAACAATAAATGAGCAAAGCTCCAGAACCTGATACCTTTCGAATGACTGCATACACGTTTAGTGATATCTAATTCTGATGTGCACATCCATTGCCGTGAAATTGAAGTGTTTCTGCAAGTCTTGTTTGATAAGAAAGCAGTGAAACTTGTGGTATAATTTGTAACGGTTCGCTACGGAATCGTGGTAGAGGATTCTGCAAGTCCAGCACACATTGACGTTTGCCGTAGCGACGAGGAGGCTTCGAGTGCACACCGGTTAAATCAGTTTTCGTCAGTCAGCTACGTGCAGTCGTCCGCGACGCCCGTGCCGCGCGACGCCGTAACGCGTCTCTCTAACATCGCGAAAAAAGTTTACACACGAAACTTTCCCTTAGACTTTCCTTTCAACCCTTGTATTGTTGAAGTGGAACTGTCTCGAGACCCCACGAGGGGCCATAGTGACCTTTTCTTCCAAACCGGATTTTCTGTATCCTCAGGAACGGGTTTAGGCTCGGACCCCGCCGTGGCAGGACTTTCGTGAAGTGCTAACTTGATTTTCAGAGTGGTGTTGTTCAGTGTCAGTGACTGGATATTATTGTATGCTCGTACCATTTTAGGAAAAGGACTGGACTTCATAAAAAACAGTTCTTAAGGTCGGCGACTGAGTAAAAGTGCTGTTAAAATTTTCTGTAAGTTTATAATAGTTTCTTAAAAGATTATAACTTTTCTTATAACTTAATAAGACAGTATTACACTTAATAAAGTTATTATTGGCGCTACGCTCATGAATATTGTCGAATTCATTCGTTACAGTAGTGATTTCAATCGTTCACTTCAGTCACGGCTGGTTGGGTATTGAAACAATCCTTGCCCTTGTCGCGATAATGTTGCACTAATATTTTCAATGAACAGTTTAATTTACACAAACTAATTACAAAGAAATGACCGTCACTATTATTTATACATTTAGATCAAACAAACTATAATTAGTAGTACTAATCGTAAATAAAAGTTGGAAAAGGCGTGTGTTATTTAGTAACATTCAATATTTCGCTATTATTATACAGATAATAAGAAAAGCCCAATTTCATATAATAAATTATCGTGAATTGAAAAGAAATTAATAATATATTCAGATGAGGTCATGCCATCGTATTCATGGTCGAAGCTGTCATCGTTCGAATTCATCATTAACATCAATCGAAAGTGCCATGCGTACCGAGTATCTATTTTGAAACGGTCAGATGTGCAAAAACGCGAATCGAAACAAGACTATTGAATGCTTTGTGCAACGAAAAAAATATCTGCCCGAGCGGGTGGGTACATAGCTTTATTTTTTTTTTTATTAACACAGGCCGAATTCGCTCTCGATATTCTGAATCGTATCTAATGTGGTTTTCTTTCATTTATGTTTGCAAAGAAATTATTTCCGAGTCGAACCGATAATGTGAGATTGTTTTTGATCTTCTATTTGACGATATAGATATAATTTGAATGAATTGATCAAGATTATGTAAAATGATCAAACATTATTATATTACGAGTAAATAACACATTTTCATAATAATCTTAAGTTGAAATATTTGTAATAAATTGTTTTAACAGCTGTATAGAATATCTCAATCGTTATATCTTTCGTATAAATATTATTGGTAGAGCAACTGCCCCATTAAAAGATCGTGGGTCCGAATCTAATCTAGAGCACTTGTGAGGAATTAATTTTTAAGTAATATTTTTAACATATTAATATTGAGAATGCAAAATTCAGCAAAAGTTCCGGTTCACTCATAAAACCTTGACATCTTCCAAAATATCGAACATAACTCATCGGAATAAGTTGTAGATAAAATATACGATGCAGTACATTAAACTATTTTGCATTAATGTTCACTTTCCAAGTAATCAGGATTTTTCTAAATGTGTCCGGAGCTTTTCAGCGTTTTTATAATGATTGTCCCATTTTTATAAATCGATGGATATAGTTTCATGATTTGGATCTTTTACATTGTTAGCAAGAGCAACGGCGTTTGAAATCTTCATTAGCATTTCGTCATTGCTGAATTTGCGTTGATTGCAATTATTTTTTTGTGGTGTTTCTTGCTTATTTATTTTTTATAATGCGAAATTTTGTGTGTATGTTCGTTATTCTTTCACTGAAAAAAAAAATGGCGTACCTATGTATAGTTCTAAGCCTGAATTAACATACGAGTAAAGGCTACTTATTATCCCAGTCAACAGTTCCCTAACGGCCATGCGGGAAAAGCCGCTGCCGAAAATTTAGCAATGCATAAAAACACATTAACACTTATTTTCACTAACCTACAACAAGGAATAGCTTAACTATGAAACGCCTAATATTACGAATCGCCAAGTAGTTTAGTTTAATAATTCCAAACAAAAAAAAATTCTTCTATCCCTTGACATATTTATGACCTGTCAAATACGCAAACGCCTACCGCAAATGAATACCATAATTTGAGACATCGCTTAATTTGTTAGGTGGCTCCTAGTTAATGGTGAAATACATGTTACCTTAGGCAATTCCTACATGTTTTAAGCGACTTCTAAGTTTAGTGAAAACGGGCATAAATAGTATAATAAAAGGTATTAGCACTTTGATTTACTGAATATCAAAGAACAAAAAAAAAATTAAATAATTGAGAACAATAAAAATTATGATTTCTTTAAGTATTTCAACTGTTTGTCCCACTTAAACTATTTGTATTACGTTACAAAATGAAACCAGTAAGACTACTGCCTAATGACATATCTCATTACTAAAGAAACGTTAATACGGCGAGTCGGCCACGTGAAAAATCAGTTCACATATACCAAATAGGACTAACACTTCCTATTTCATGTTAGCATTCATTTGGTTAATGCAAATTTTCTGTGTAAATATTTTATTATTTACGTTATATAGACAAGTTTTAGAACGAAGGTCAAAATGATTGTTTGAAACGTGACACTATAAATTCTTATACATTTCGTTTTTACCTCAATTAAGCCGAAAAAGGCTTTATTAGGTAATATTTAAATTAAAGTGCGAATAAGGAGTGTCGAGTTTATGTTAATATTTTGTCATAAAAAGGTTATATATAATAGTTATAAAAAAACTTAATACAAATTTAGTTGTAAGTAATCTTGTATTCTCTGCATGTATTGTAAAGATTTATGATTATTTAAAATATGCTAGACGTAAAATTCTCACTTATTAAAATTCATGTATTTTTTCACGATTTTCATTTTTGTTCAAAAAAGTTGAGTCTTTAAAATAGTTAGCAATTTTTAATTACTTATTGACACATTTCTATAATTTGTTTTATATTGAAATACCGACTTACGCGAGCTTTTTAATGTCGTAAAATTTCATAGAATGCAATTGTTTTCTTAAATTACACATATAAAAAGTTTCTAACGCGTTGTATAATGGAGATAACTATCTGGTAGGGTTATCGACTCGTATTAAAGTTTCGGTATGACTTTTAATCAACTACTATTTCTTGTAGATAGTAAGTATAAAATACTAGTTGTAAATGATAATAATAAATAATTTAATTCCACGAGAGCTGGTGAGTTTCTTTTGTTCGTTTTTCTTATCTTAACGGGTAGTAGTTTAAAAATATGGTACAACTCAAAAGTACTTTAAATATTATTATGATAAAGTTTTTTTTTAATTTCTACTTTTCTAATCACTACATTTTGTTCTCTATTTGTTATCCTTCGTTTCATGATAAAGTTCACAGTTTTATTATTAGCTCCCATATAATATATTCATCCTACTTTAGTTTCATTAATTTTTACCAAATTTATTCATCTGTGGGAGCAAAAGATTGATATTGATTGCAGTACTGTTATAAAGTTATATTTGTGATATATTTTGTTAAGTTAAAATGAATACTTTTCTACTTTTAAAATATAGTTTTCGTTGTCTTATTCGTGGATGAAAATATTAAAGTGAAAGGTATACAAAAAAATGTTTTACAAAAAAATTGCCAACCCTAGCCACTCGTATATGGTGTTCATAAAAGGTTCATAATGAATGTTCCGCGGTGTAAAACAAAAAAGTTTCTATAGAACTAATACCGGCACGTCACCTCATATTGACATTATAGCTACATCCAAATTATGCGTCATAACATTAATTCCCAAATTGCACACCAAAAAGATTGAAGCCGCCGCCAGTAAAAATCGTTTTTAACTTAAGAGTACTCGTGTATAAAGATGTAGAGGAAAAGAGACAAAATAGTCAGGTCACTGTAATAAATTAAAGACATGTCATGGCGTAAGGTTCGCAAAATCCGATATTTATAATAAATTTCAAAATATCATCAGATATTTTTATATCTATCTGATATATATAGTGCTTATGAAAAACTGCGATTTTTAAGCTGCTAGTGGTTTTATTTTTATATTTGATCTTTTAAATTTTGGAAATTTCTAGTGAGTAAGATTGCTAATTCAGGCCAATGTTGCCAGCATCATATAAGGTTAGTTAATTTTCTATCCGAGACTCAATACTCAAACTAACAATAAATATTATTATTGTCAATTTATATATATCAACGTAAATATTAATCGATATATATCCGTTGATATTTATCAACGAACCCTGATTGTCAGTAATAGAAGTAATAGAATGTCAAAAACTATGATTACTACTTTTAATTTTTACACATTTCTTAATTTTACTCCCCCCCCCATTATTGATTGATAAATTACTGAGTAGCTCGGTGGTGTAGTGGATATGCGTCGCGGCCCGCGATCGTAGTCGTTAAGCAACTTTCGCAAGGGTCGGTCACGGGATGGGTGACCAAGAAATTATTATCTCGAGTTACTCCGTGCTTCGGAAGGCACGTTAAGCCGTTGATCCCAGCTGCATTTGCAGTCGTCAATACCCTCCAATCCTCATTGGGCCAGCGTGGAGGGTCATGGCTCATCCTCCTTAACCATCCATAAGGAAGGCCCGAGCCCCTGCAGTGGGGTGATAAAAAGGGCTGGTGATGATGATGATGATTAATTTTACTTATAAAAAAGTAGGCATAATTAAACTTGTGTGAATTTATTAATTGTATTTTTATGAGAGAAATTAAATCAAATGATTCAAGAGATACACACATATTAAGTACAATCTATCGATCGACATAAAAGGAGTATGCATATCTCACCCGCTCAATACAAATTTAATTCGACGTCATTGATTTTTTACGTTATATCGGAGGAAATCTACGATGCGTACCTAATCAATTCATTTCCACCGTAAGGAACATCAAATTGAATCTCACATTTCAATATGAGAGTTCCATCGACTGTTGAGGTACCCAAAATCGATGTCGTATTAGAGACATATCGGAGAAGAAAGGTCGTAAACAACATTTTATTTAAAACGTTTTAAGTGATGTATAAGTTTGAATAAGTTTGAATGGAATTAATAGCCTTCGCTTTGTTCTACAAAGACTAATTATATGTTCAACTTATGTCCTACAGACTTTGAAAGTTGTATTTAATATTGTGATAAATTGATAATACATATTATTTTGGTAATGACATGATTTATGTAAATGTCATTTCATAACTTATGATAAAAAGCTGGTAAGTTTCTTTCGCTTGTTCTTCTTGTCGCTAAAAGACGTCCTGAACAAGTGGTAGGGGAAAAAAGTTTTTTGGACGATTCAAAAGTGCTTGTAAT